GGATTGCAGGCAGCTTGATGCTCGCTGCGTTCTCCTCCTTTCGGTGACGGGAAGGCAGCAGAGGGCCGGGGTGGGCGGCAGGGCTGGATCCCGGACCGGCAGGGCTGGCCGGGTGGCCAGCACGCCCCATATCCCCCGCTGGAGGCGAGGAGCCCCGGCCGGCTCCTCGGGGCGCTTTGCATCGCGGCGGAGACCCGGGGACACCGTTCAGCACCCAGGAGAGCTCCGCAGGGGGCACGTCCCACTGGTTCAGCCCTCCGGCGCCCAGAGCCCGGCTGGAGACCTTGGTCCGTTCCGCAGCCCGTCCTCGTCGTCCTCCTCCAGCATCCGTCTGAATCCGGCTTGCTTTCGGTGCCCCAGCCTCGGCGGCGGATGCTTCTCCAGCTCTGCCCTGCCTCCCCGGGCAGCGGGAGGCACTCACAGCCTGCTGGGGATGGAGCTGGGCAGTGCTAGGAATAGGTCTGAAGCATCCAGCAGCGTCAGGAGGCAGAAGGGAGGAGACAGCCCGAGCTGCAACCCTGCTGCCTTCAGGCTCGTCGGCTTTCCTGGCCAATCTCCCAAGATGGGCTAAGGTCCAAAGGCTGGAGCTGGGGAGGGGGAAATCTGTCTCTCTCTCCCTTCCTGGGTCTCTGGACAGCAAAAGGCAACTGCAGTTGTGCAATTTATCCCCCCTCTTCCCCACCCCACCCCGACAAAAAAAAAAAAAAGCAGGCAAACGGGGGTCAGCCGTGAGGTCAGGGCGCTCTGGTTCCAAGGGAGGGCACCGCATACACATAGACTGAGCAGCGACGGCTGCCCAAGCTGTAACTAGCCATTAATAATCCCTGTCCCTGTGGAGGTTCAGACCCAGTGAATTGTCCCTCCAGCCACCCGCTCATCTTGCCGCGGCAGAGAGAGCAACAATCAGATGCCTCTGCTAGAGACACGGGGAAGGAAAGCCGTGGTGCTGTTATCCACCCCACGTCCTCCCCCAGCCTGCAAGGACAGACTGTCCTAGCCTTCACCCACTACCTCCCAAGGCTACAAAGCATTGTCTTAAGCTAAATCTTCTGCAAATCTTCCCTCAGCAGAATTAAAAGCTTTTTGGTTCAACTCCAGGCTGGCCTGATAGGTTTGAGGCTTAGCTTATCACAATTACACTGTGCCCAAGCGCCAGAGTTTTACTTTTCCCCGTGATTGTTTCACTGCAAGACAATTGTTCTCTAAACATCCCCTGCTTCTGCCACAGGGAGTGGCGCCACTCACGAAATGAGTCCCACTGGTTTCAATGGGACAACTGGCAGAGGTGAGGGACTACTCACAGGGACTAAGAGCCGCAGGGCCAGGACCCTAAACAAGCTGCATGTCTACAAAGCAACTGTTTCAAAAATAAACGAAAGCGCCTGATGACATTATTACTATGTTCTTTGATTGTTCCTGTTGTCATCTACTTGCAATCTAAGGTGGCGCCTTCTGTTTTATACTTGGTTGTTTTAAATTAAGAGAGGGCCCCAAGCGCATCTCCCCACCACCAATAATCGTTTAGGAGTTGCTGTTTCAGACAATGCAAGTATGATAGGTTGTATTACTCAAGTGTAGACTGTAATGGCCTTTGGCCTAGGAGGCACCTGTTGGGAAATGCCTACTCAGTATTCTCTGACCCTGTTGGCCTAGGAGGGTGAAAAAGCCGATGGAAAATAGTGAAGTGAACTGGAATGGGCTACCAGAATCTGAATCCCAAACATCCAAAGGTCTCACAGGACCCAGATCACTCTACACCTCCACCCATCACACCAGCATTACCATCCCTCTTCCAAAGGGATAGAATAAATACACTCAGAGTACCAATGGTAACTAGCATTTCATGCAGCATTGTCATTCTAAGGGTAATATAAGAGCCACACACTGGCAAATACAGAGAAGCAGTAGGATTTGCCCAGCCATTCCCTGCCACAAATAACCTTCACCAAAATGTTGACCAAACCCCGCCCCATCCCTGCAAAAAAGCCTCCACTGTGTCTGTATCACAAGAGGATTACCTGGTGCATTGGGTATTCAGCCTGTTCTCTTGCAGCTGTGTTGTGAGCTGTGAGCTTTGCCCATTTGAATGGACACTCCATGCATAGTCTACTGCTTTAATCTGCTGCTTTGGAAACCTAAGCAGGTTACTGCATATTTAGCTATGTGCCTGTTCTTATGTGTCGAAGATAAGGTTTCTGGATGTGTTTTTTAAAAGCAAAATTATTTTACT